GAAGTTCGACCTGCCCCAGGAGCTGCTGATACAGTTCTACAGAGGAATCATCGAGTCTGTTCGCTGCACCTCCATCACTGTCTGGTTTGGCTCAGCAACCAAACAAGACAAGTACAGACGTCAGTGGACAGTCAGGACTGCAGAAAAGGTCATTGGGGTGAGCCTGCCCTCCATGGAGGACCTGTACACCGCATGGGTCATAAGGAGGGCTGAGAGGATCACTGCAGACCCCTCACACCCTGGATACAAACTGAACTCCTCCTCTTTGGACGGCGTTACAGGTCACTGTGGACCAAGACAACCAGGCACAGGGACAGTTTCTTCCCCTGGGCCATCACTCCGATGAACACTTAACCCATGACCGTATAACAGGATGACAACCCTCAGTACAATACCTGTAAATATACTTTTGTATATATCTATCTGGAAAACTACATCTAAACTGTGAATATACACATATTTTATATTTTATAAGTACTTTATTTTTATTTTCCTAATGCACACTCCTTTTTCTTGTTTGGACATTCTTTTTCTTTTCTTGTTTTCTTATGTAAGAACATTATACATGCACATTAAGAGCCATTGTACTGGAGTCGTGTACTAATACCTCGTGTGGTCAACACATCCGGCCAGTTAAGCTGATTCTGACTGACAGCATAGACCCCCTAAAAACTGCAAAATTTTAGGCGGGTCTCAGACATGAGTCCAATTAATTTCTATTTATCCACACAATACAATTTATTTGCATGTATAATGTTATAGATTTGTTTATTATAATTATCAAATAATAATAATAATGGTGATTTTACTTCACTTTACTTTTTGCTTTGTAAGGTTATTCATTGGGCTTAAATGTCCAAATAAATACTGAAAAGATAAAAGTAATCTCAAACTTTGGACCAGTACTGCATGCTCAAAATGATGTTATATAACTAAAGATGGACACAGTGTGGAGCCAGGTCAGGAGCCTCACATTTCTAAAATTAGCTGCCAATCATTTTATCAGTCTGACTGTGAGAAAGGAAACCAGCCAGGGACTGGATCCTGGAGGAGGAAAAGTGTGTGGTAACACGTTTATTCTTTTGTTCAGAATCAATTATTCATAAACCACTTTTCTCCTACATTTCTCCCACTTTTCTTCCAAAATAATAATGACATTTTGGTTGGGATAAAGTTCTCTGAAGCATCGCCTTAATTTTGCACGTGACAACTTATATTTGTCTGTTGACCATATATTTCAAAGGGCTTCATAAATCACTGCAGATCAGTGGCCAAGGCAGAGACCCCTCGAGTGACTCAGCCAACTCACTGAACCACAGAGAAGGTTTGGTCACTCTCTACTGGATCACAGACCATTCAGGTTAGTGTGAGTATAATGAATATACAGTACACAAGACATCAGCACTTTGGAGAAACACATAGGCAAAGATGCTTTTTGTGTTCCGTGAGCTGAATTTCTAGGAACACTGAATAATTTCACTAAAGTGAAGTGCCAGCTCCAGGGAGAAACGGAATGAAGTATGAGCACTGTGTTCATTAGCTTATGCACAGTTAAAGCGTGAGCTGTTAGAGAGTGGCAAAAGCTGAGCACTATTGCAACACAAGTGTGCATCCCAGCAACACTAGTGTTACAGTTCACTGCACTTCCTGCTTCAAGCTTTTATTTCTGTACACTTCCGCCCCATCCCCAGACCCACTCCATGCACCTGCTTCTCATCAAGCAAACAGGAAATAAGCCACCTCTATTCTCCAACTCACTGCTAGATTGTCAATATAGTAACCTGATCAGAGACTTCCCAGAGCTATATCTGTCTCCTCTGTTGGACTCTGCTTGCTCCGTTTGTTCATGGACTTTCATGTATTTGGACATGATCTCCACAGAAACCTGGTTAGTTGTCTGCAATTTCTATTCTAGTAGTTCTGTTAACATATAGAATTTAGTTATTTCCTGGATGTGGTTAGTTGCCTGTTCCCTGCCATAATGTCTTGTTTGTATTGTGGCCCATTCTTTCGTTAGCCACCTTCCTTGTGTCATGGTTCTGTGCTGTCTCGCCAGTACTGTTGTGTTTTCCAGTGTCTGCCATGGTATCTCTATTTTCATCCTAACCTTATGTTCACCACCTACCTGTGTTTTCATGTTCTCTAATTATAGTGTTGCTATCATAGTTCCTGTGTAGAAGTGTTTTCCTTACTCAGTCACATTACCTGCATTGTAGTATCCTGAGTCAGCCTCTTATCTTGTTTACTTGTTTCCCTGTGCTGTCCCTCCCCCAGCCATGATGTCTTATTCTCAGTTATTATTATTATTATTATTATTATTATTATTATTATTATTATTATTATCATCATCATCACTATTGCCTTGTTTCCTGGTCCCGAGCCTAAGACGCAGTAGTACATACAGTAAAAGTAGGTTTTACTGATTGGACACAATAACATAATTGTTTGATACAGTTACAAAAAAATTCCAAAAAACATTTCAACAAATACAGCATATATTTAATGATTTATTGAATTTGTCGCTTGGCTAATTAAACTTTTGAAAGCTACACTTATCCCTATTTCTATTTTGACAATTGAGCAAATGATTATATATGCATAAGTCATCTCCATTTGTCATCTTTTAGCTTATTGTTTTGTTTATGGCCCACTACTTTACTGTTTGATGCATTCTCACAGGTATCGCCGATGTAAAATTCAAAAGTGCTACACTGTTTTCAGGAAAAAGCTGCTCAGCTCCAACCTACAGACAGAGAAAGTTAGCTACTCTCTGGTGAACACAGAGGAACCTTTAGCAGCTAAACAGCCAGATATTTCCTCCAGGCGTTGGTGGAGACAAGACAGAGCTAAAAGGAAGTGAATATTAGAGTCAAGGCTAATTTTGTCTAAATGACTAAATACAGGCAACCCCTTGCTAAACTATTGGCCAGAACAACTTTATAAAATGATAATGTCAAAGATGTGTTTATAGGTTGTTTTTCTGCCCCAATATAGCCAGAAAAATGTATTCTGCTAAATAATGCTAAGAAATATTTTTAATATTAAATCAATAAAAAGCAATATTTTTATTTTACAATTGAATCAAATGGCTTCATATTATGTGAAAGGCTTGGAATCACTAGACCAGATCTGGTCAGCGCTACTATGACTCTGTATTGGAAACTACTTTCAGCAGCTGTTGTAACTTCCTGTATTTCCCGTAAAGACAATGATGATTCATACAATATCCAGATAATAAATTCCTGTAAATTTGACACTGTAAATACTATTTAGTGTGTGTGTTTGTGTTTCGGAGAAAAACATGACACAGTGCTATATCATGCTGTACATTTCTAGGATGGTACCACAACTGATACAGTGGGGCAAATAAGTATTTGATACACTGCCGATTTTCCAAGTTTTCCCACTTACAGAGAATGGACAGTTCTGTAATTTTCATTGTAGGTACACCTCAACTGTGAGAGACAGAATTTACAAAAAATTCAAGTAAATCACATTGTTAGATTTTTAAATAATTTATTTCCATTTTATTGCATGAAATAAGTATTTGATCACCTACCAACCATCAAGAACTCTGGCTCTCACAGACCTGTTAGTTTGTCTTTAAGAAGCCCTCCTATCCTCCACTCATTGCCTGTATTAATTACACCTGTTTGAACTCGTTACCTGTATAAAAGACACCTGTTCACATAATCTATCAGACTCCAACTTCTCCACTATGGGCAAGACCAAAGAGCTGTCTAAGGACACTAGGGACAAAATTGTAGACCTGCACAAGGCTGGGATGGGCTACAGGACACTAGGCAAACAGCTTGGTGAGAAGGCAACAACTGTTGGCACAATTATTAGAAAATGGAAGAAATTCAAGATGACTATCAATCTC